TCAATTTATCCTTGATGATTTTATAATTTTTAAACAATAGTTCCGCTTGAGAAGGAGCAGCTTGCATGTGGATATCTTGTCCTTTTTCAAAAGCTTCCCACGCATGAATGTTGAGCTGCTTGAACTCCAGTGCTTGTCCGCTAACTCTGTTTTGGTTATCACCCTGTAGTGTGTACCATAAATGAACAAATTATCTATTGTGAAGTAGAAACAACATGAAAAATTAGGAAGAAGAAACTTAGCATGTGTTAAGAGAAAAAAAAACTCACTTCATAGAACTTCTCATTTGGATCACTATCAGGTACAGGATCCTCACGCATAGAACGAGTTTTTGGGTCATAGTACGCAGAGTTGACATCTAGATTCAAAAGATACTTTGCTGTATCTTCTCTAATACGCAAATTCCTGACATAACAAAAAGTTTACAATTATGCACCAAGTTCCAGGAAATTCAATGCCTTGACAACAAAAAGTTTCATCAGATGTTCAAAAACTTAGCTCATGAAGCTCCTGCAATTTGATGTTAAAATACCTGACAGTTCCAGTGCTTCCACCTCCAGTGGTACGCACACGTTTCTCCACCTTTGCAAAGTCCATCTGTTTGCTCTCATCAACCTTAGCCTCATCAACCTTTAAAAAATCATCGTCATCATCATCATCGCTACCGCTATCCTTGTCATCCTTTTTGTTATTCTTCTCCTCTAGGTTCTTCAATTGTTCCTCTTTCAAATACTTCCGCCTGGCTTCATCTCTAGCCTCATACTGCTCAATTACACGAAAATATGCGGAAGCATCGTAGCCATTCCAACGGTCACGTTTCCCATCATAATCAAGCTCAAATGTCTCAATCTTTTCATCCGGAGCTATGTGCATGCTTGTCCACTTAGCTCCCACTTTCCTAGGTCTCTCCATGCAGGACTTTTTGTCATGTGTCATTGCCCCACAACTGAAACAGAGAAAATAATTAATCAAACATCAAGCGGTTACAAGGTATACCAGGAGAAAGCATTGCTGAATTGATGTTAGTGCAACATTAGCCAGAGCTACGAAGTACCAAGCACCAATAATCAGAGTACCGAGATTTCATGACTCCAGAAAAACCAGGACATTATTGCAATAGCATGATAGTCTACAGTGCAAGGTTTTGTACTACTTAAAGAGAAAAACATACACTAAAGGGAACAAACTTACTTCTCACATGCACCCTTTCTATATCGATCAGCTTGATAAATCTTGGCACCTCTATCATACCATGATTTGGTGTAATTGGGATCTGATTTCCATTTCCTCTGATGCTTCAAACTCTGTAAAATACAGTGGGTACATGTTATGGATTTTTTGAGTCAGAGCAGGTGAGTGGGAGAAAACAATGAATTTTCACGATAGAACTTACTGGCCTCTCAGCATTAAGATACCAGGGAGCTGATGACATATACTGAGGAATGTGTGGATTGATCTCCTTTCCATCTTCATCAACCTCAGCTGGGGCAAGTCCAGCCTTACGTGCTTCTTCCAATTCAAGTTGTTTCCGATGATCTTCTCGTGATTTGAAAGATGCTGCAGTACAGTAAACAAAGAATGTCAACACCTCTACATCAACAAAAACTAGACAAGAGAAACAATTCCGTCAAACTTTATCTAATAGATGGTTCACAAATTGTTGTGCTGATCAGCATGCATCGACATGGGTCAAGAACGTACTGTCATGCCAACAAACTATCAGCACCATGCCATGCAACTCTTTCCTCAAAGGCCACCATATTTTTGGTGGCTATTTTTGGTTTATGCCAATAGGATACATTATGGCATCAATTCATTCAATGCCAAAAGAGGTACCAACTCATGCCAACAGATAAGTCATTGCACGTAACTAAATGCTACAAATTTAGCAAAATTGGTCAAGAATAACAGGATATCATCACACTTTATGATACATTTTATAACTGTTTTATTTTGTGTATTCAATTAATCTACATGTGTTGGCTGTTGCTGTGTTTGGTAGCATCTGATGATCACCAAACTTGTGCCTATCATTAACGTACTAAAAAGTTATTAACTATAAATCTTCCGGACGCTATGTATTTTTTTTTCCACTAAAAAGACAAATGCATATTCAAAGTATTAGAAAGCCTTAAAGAAGAAGAAAAGCAAATGAATGTCAAATTAATATTTAGTGCTACTTCAAATTTCTTTGCAGTGCAAGCATGTTTTCAAATATTGAGAAAAATGTTTGATTATCTTTGGAAGTTTAAGTTATAAGAAAAATGTAAACTTAAGTTGAATGAGAATGTTAATAGACAACAGACACACTTTGCAGAAAAAATCTAATATTGAACTAGCAACATAGCAAGGGGTAACCATATGACAAGAATAGATAGGCGATCTCCAATAGCTCAATTCTCATGACGAATACATAAGCCAACTTAGATACTAATAGCTCCCATTGCATTTAAGTGAAAAACAACTTACAAATGGCTGAATAGTAAATTTTTTTTGGATAAAAGTGTCCAGTAAACGCAAGTTGGAGGATTAAGTCATTTTCACATTAATTCTTTTTATTAACTTTCCTGTGGGCATATTGTTATTGTCTTTTTTCTTTTCTGATTCTACATATCTTCCAATGAGGTAAAAATAATAAGAACAATGAGTTAACAGTCATGAATAAACCAAAAATCCAGAGAGCTTGCTCCAGCAAACCTCTTCAACTACGACTTATAGACCAACATATTTCATCAAATATCCACTGTTGGTATGTGTCACAGTGCAGGTAATTGCTTAGAATGCACAGATATAGTAGATATCTCTCAGAAAACTAAACAGACATGATAAGAAAGTTCTTAAGCTAATATATTGCAACTGGAAACAGAAACCTCATAAATATTTCTTTCTCAATTCTATAGAAAATCAACTAAGCGAAGTGCTCCTTCAAATACTACATTAAGTACAACTATATGAGGAACAACCATGTACAGTTCATTAGCTTATTCTTAAAGCATGTGAAAAAGACAATTCTACCAGATGTTAAAAAAAAAAACTTTAATCACGAACTAAATCAACGTATATACACACCCCAAAATATAACCACACGACTCAACATCAACAAAGTCGCAGGAAAACTGAAATTGGAAACTGCAGCAGACCAAAAATAAAGGAAGAACTTTCTTGTGAGGAAAAAATTGCCATCAAGTAGCAATTTTACAACCTGATGCTAATAAATTTTCGTATTTAAATCACTACTTCCGAGTCAAAATCTAACATGACGCAGAAATTCTTCAAAAAATTTAGAGAAAACTATAATTCTTCTCAGCGATATAAATTCAAGATGCAGAGTTCCACAAACGCGAAACCCTAAATGCAGGCCAAGTCGACATAACCGACACCGACAACCAAAACCACATAACCCAAGTCACCAAATACTTTCAATCAGTAAACACCACACCTAAATCCGATGCCCTTAGACCTAAAGTCTGGGGATTCCACCACAAGAATAGAAGATGAACAAGGGAAGGCACAATGCTTTACCCGAAGCCGTCGCCATGATCGGCACGCGCAGTCAGCTTTGGTCCAATTAACAAGGGATTCCAAATTAAACCTGTAAATTACATACCGAAAAAATTTCAATTAAAACCAAATAATCTTACTAAGGAGACGAAAGAAAACCAGAAAAAGTTATAATGATTTCGATCCTGATTTTTAAACGGTTTTAGGGTTGCGATTAGGGCGTGCGTAAGTGCTGCCAGAAATCCATGCGCAAGAGTAGTGGTGGTGACGGTGGTAGAATAGAGAGGAGGAGGAAGAACGAATGATACCTAGCGGCGGCGTCTCGCTGATGCCGTTCGCACAAGAGAACGAATTGGGGACGGTCGTAGCATATATATATATATATATATATATATATATATATATATATATATATATATATATATATATATATATATATATATGAATTGGGGCCTAAACTCGAACCGATTTGGCGTTCGATAATTACAGTCGGAACTACCTTACGTTCGGGTATACCTTAAAAGTTACCTCCCTCGTCATTGGCAGCAGCACCGAACCCCTTGGTGGTTCGCAATTCTTGTTTCCGGACGGTAAAGTAGGTAGGTGAGTCGGGCACGGAAAACAAAACATTCATTAAAGCTAATGTTCCTAATTAATATAATCCAATCCATTAGCGGGATGCTAAAACCACGGCGATGCAGCGTCTTGCAACCGAGTTCGGAATCCAAAGACTAATCTGTAGTTAGTTAATTTGTTTTTGGAAGGTGACCAAAAACAATTTGAATACCATTATGACTATGTTAATACAAAAAATTTCAAGAAATTTAGTGTCTCCAAATAATTCTTACCTTTCACTGATCCATCGAGTAAATCGATTTATAAGGTGAATCGGTTCAATTCATCGGTTTATACTATTTTTGAATAGATATATAATATTTTAAAAATATCCTAAACCTAATCACAAATCTTATAACCAATAAAAATCTTCTTATTTGATTATTTTTATTTATAAATCAATGAAGATTAGCTTAAATTGCCTTTGAAGTATTAAAATATATTTAAAAATATTATTAATTGATAGTGTGGATCTTATGTAAATAGGTTTAGGGTTTATGTGATTTCAATGATTAAGGATATTTCAAGATTATGCGAATGCAATGTAGTTTTTGATAAATATAAAAGAGTATAAAAAAAGTCAAGAGGACATTTCGCTCATAATAGTCGACATATGTTTTAACTATATTTATAATATAATATTATCAGGACATTAACACCACAACGTACAACGGAAGAAATCCCGGCCGTCCATCCATCGTGATGATCAATCACCATACGCCGGACGGCGGAATCTCCTTTCACAGTGATGGAAACTTCGAGCATATCCGTCCATCCAATTCGCTTGTTGCCACATTTCTCCTCTATAAATATCCCATCGTCGCCCCTTCGCTACTCGTCGAGGTCGAGCCTCATATCGCTTCCTCCCTACCGCTCTGCAATAACCTTTCTTGCTTTCTACGCCTTTTATCGTCGTCGAGATGGCGAAGGATCCCGTTCGAGTTCTTGTCACTGGCGCTGCAGGTGTCGATCTAATGATCTGTTCTGTTTCATGTCTAGTATTTCTTGGATTCATTCGTCATAGATCTCAGGTCGGATCTGATTTCGTATGTCGGATCTGAACCTACGTAGCATCTGCAGCTGCGATCTTCGTTGGGTTTCTGAATCACTTGACCATATTGTGAAATGGGCTCGTTTCGCGCCTTCGGTCTAAATTGGTGCTTTCGGTTTACTGATTTGGAACAGAGACAGGGTTTTATATCGATCATTTGCTCTTTATTTATTGAAGAATCTCAAGTTATATTTGTTATATTGATCGTTTTGCTTTATGATTTGTTGTTTTACGATGTGCTGAATCGATCTGGGTTGGCATGCTATGTAGGTGTTTTCATGGAAAGATCAGGACCTCTTTAAAGATGTTTTGGGAGTCCTTTTACTCTTCTGTTATTTGTTGTTTCTTCATCTTTTGTTTATTTCTTTTTCGTTGGGACTGGCATTGATCTTAGTCGATCCGGAAAGCTTGTCCATTTTTAGTGGCATTTTGATTTAGAGAGTCTTGTGTAGCACATCTGGAAAGAAGATCATGTTTGGTTCTACCCTTTGTCCTGAATGATAACGCTTTACCTTCCATTAAGAAAGGGATCACTTGTCTATTTCTTTACAAATATGTGGTTATATATCTTTATGAATGCATGACACTCTAGATATTTCATCAAGTCCTTGTTTATATAAAGATATCTTTTGGTTTATTTAGTAAGATAAAATTCCTATGATGGTTCTTCAAAAGCTGGCAAAGGTTGTTTAGATAGATTTTCACTTCAAAGTTGGTCATTTGAATGAGAGATTTTTTTTTCCTTCCCAAGCTAAGCTTTTGTATAATGTGATGTTAATTATTATAGTATTTTCTTGGTGACACCTTTATGATGTGTTAATCTTTAAATTTTTTTTCTGTTACATCTGGAATTTAGTTATAGGCGTGAGAGCTCACTTGAGTTTGAAATCCTTAAATTCTTCTTTACCATGTGTAGTAATCACTGCTTTCCTTGTATTTTTGTATATATTACACTTGATTGTATTCATGTATATAACCTGCATGTGGTCTCAGATTTAGCGGAAACCACAAAAAATTGAGAAAACTAAATGGTCCATGTAGAACATTTCTGTTGTTCACAAGATATGGTTTGAAAGAATCATCATGCAGTAGTCTATTTTTTGTTTTACCTTTTCAAATTCACTATTATGAGACGTCGCAATTGATGCTTCAACATTCTCTTGAAGGCATGTGCGTTCTTCATGTTATTGAGGCTTTTATTTTTGTCCGCCTTTTTCTTTGTCAAAAAAGTAACTGAAAATAAAGATTAGGATATGACTTGGTGGTTTATACGCACTAGTGTGATTTTAAAAAAAAATCATTATCACTTTTGCAATATGAGAGACATCTTGGAGCTTTTATTGTGCTATAAACAGATGTCTGACATGATTATTTAACTTTGGTTTGTTGTACTTTTTAATTGATTAAGATGGAATGAGTAGTAACTTCAAAGACATTTCCATGATTAAAGTTCTTAAACCTTGTTGAATACATTGTTAATGGAGCTTTCTTCATTCCCATGAGTTTTGTATTTCCTTGTTGTGTATGCTCTTATCATTTATGTATAATTGGATAGTAATATTTATGTATTTTTCATTATTTTGGTTATGATTCTGTGTCATTTATTAATTTCTTAGATATATATTGTGATTCTTCAAAACTAATCCATGGCATCTTTTGATTCTCTACATTGCATACAATTTGGTGTTATATTGGAATAATGATAATCTAATCATAGTAAATCAAGCTTTTGTGAACTGCATAAGAAACACCATGGAAACATTAAAAAATCAGTAGTGCATTATATTTATTGCTTATGGAGTACTCTTTGGTAAATTATTGTACTTACCACACAAATAATTTAAAGATATTCTGTAATTCCATGGAACTTTAGTCACAAGGCAAAGCAGTCAAAACATGTTGGTCTTAGATACCTTTTTTTCTATGAAATTGGTCTTTTAATATTTTCTTGTTATCTTCAGCAACTATAAAATGTTTGTCATAATTCATATTTGCAGGACAAATTGGTTATGCACTTGTACCAATGATTGCTAGGGGAGTGATGCTTGGCCCAGACCAGCCTGTTCTCTTGCACATGCTTGACATTCCACCTGCTGCAGAAGCACTCAATGGAGTCAAGATGGAGCTGGTTGATGCAGCATTTCCTCTTCTTAAGGGTATTTTTTTCCTCATGTACATAATTCCACTGTCTGTTCTTATTCTTTAGTTTTTCAAATCAACTGCTCTTACAATTATAAATTAGGTGTCGTGGCCACAACTGATGCTGTGGAGGCTTGCACTGGAGTCAATGTAGCTGTTATGGTTGGTGGTTTTCCAAGGAAAGAAGGAATGGAGAGAAAGGATGTGATGTCAAAGAATGTTTCCATATACAAGTCTCAAGCTTCTGCCTTAGAAGCACATGCTGCTCCAAATTGCAAAGTGTGATTTGGAATATTGGATGCAAAGTTTTATGTTTATACGATTCAATTAGAAATGCTTCAGATTTATATGTTCTTATTTTCTTTAACTGTATATGAATCATTTTTCTGATTCCTTGCAGGTGCTGGTTGTCGCTAATCCTGCTAACACTAATGCTCTTATACTGAAAGAGTTTGCTCCATCCATCCCTGCGAAAAACATCACTTGTTTGACAAGGTTGGATCACAACAGGGCACTAGGTCAGATTTCTGAGCGATTAAACATTCAAGTTAGTGATGTCAAGAATGTCATCATCTGGGGAAATCATTCTTCTACTCAGTATCCTGATGTAAGTCATGCAACCATTAAAACTCCAAGTGGACAAAAGCCTGTTCGTGAGCTTGTTTCTGATGATGACTGGTAGGTTGACATTTGAAAATTTACTTTTGTACTCATTGGATTTCAGATCCTCTTAAGACTTTCTAATTAGACCAGTTTATTATTGCTATATCTTACTTTTACAGGCTCAAGGGAGAATTTATCAAGACTGTTCAACAACGTGGTGCTGCAATAATCAAAGCAAGAAAGCTTTCTAGTGCTTTATCTGCTGCCAGTGCTGCTTGTGATCACATACGTGATTGGGTTCTTGGGACCCCTGAGGTTACTTTTCATATCTTTTCTTTTTAAACTTCATATGCTACTTGGCTGAATGTATCAAGTCTTTCTCTCCTTTGTGGCAGGGAACTTGGGTTTCCATGGGTGTCTACTCGGATGGTTCATATAATGTACCAGCTGGGCTGATTTACTCTTTTCCAGTCACATGCCGTGCTGGCGAGTGGACCATTGTCCAAGGTGCATAAAATGTGACATTTTATACAACAATTTATACTTGAATGCATAACTGACTGGTCGAAAATAGTAATGCTTTCATGATTTTTGGTGAGAAGATGGCCCATAAATTGAACAGAGCATTGCAAGAATCATTTAAATTAATATTCAGGACAAATTATGTTCTATCTTTCTGCTTGCCATTAGAACATCTAATTTGTAGATGGAACAAAATGTCAAAGTTCCTTGGAAATTGTACTTGTGTTGCATTTCTTAGGAGTAGCTCAACATATGTAGTTTTTAATGCTGTTTCAGATAACAGTTAAGTACACGGTATTAATCTGGATGTGAATCCTTATAGCAAGCATGGTAGTACTTGTTTTAAAATTATACATGACATACCTCGAATCTGCAATGCTTACCTCAAGAAAGAATCTATGCTTTTCGGTTTCTACTCGTTAATATGTTGCCATAACTAGTACTTGCTGATGATTGGACATGTCCCTGCTCTTTTAGGATTTTGAATGTTAAAATGCTTGAATATCGTCTTTATTTAGTTTTCAAACTAGATGCTTGAATATCCTTGTTATTAGATCAGCCATTATATAATAAAATATTGAAGATTATGATTGGAAAGATGATGAAGGAAAAAGGTAAATAATTTGTCTGTACTTTTTGTATCCTCTTTTCTTTCATTGGCATAATTTATGAAGGCAAAATTGCAAACATATGTATCCTTTTAAAGCTACTGGTTTTCATTTTTTTTTTCCTTTAAATTTAGATTTAATATATATACCCGAAAATTCTAAAAGCTTACATATCCATCCTTGTGGTTAATCATACTTACCATCATTTAAATATTAGTTTAAATCTAATTGGCATTTGTACATTGTAAAACAAATTTTGCTGGTAAAAGTATTTGGTTTATTTAGATATAAATTTTTGGGGATATTTAAGACCACAAATCATCTTAATGTTGACCTAATTAGATGTGGCTAGTATGAGTGGTCTATATTGATGTTAATGGGAGGGTTATTTGTGGAGGTTTAGTCACACGCTATACTAAAATAAAGGTTACATATTTATTTTAAATTTTATAAGGATATATATGTCGAAGCCTGTGATATAAATAGGACTCTAGTTTGAAACTTTAATGTTTCAATAAGTCAATGATAATTTCTTAATAGTATATTGAGTATATTTATTGCTAGATCTCATGCTTTCCTTCTATTGCGAGATTTCTCTGGGCTTCTAATTACTTCTCAAATCTTTTTCTTGGACACCTTAGAATCTCTGTTCACTGCCATATGCCATCATAGAATTACTTAATAGTGAAGGCCAACCACTAGACTATTCAACCAGGGTTAGTTCCCATATTTCAAGCAGACGTTTGTTTATACTGGTACCCATCAGCTAAACCTGAAGTCCTATAAAACTCCATAGACATAGATCTGCAAATTCTCTGAAATTGATGGTTGCTAAACACTTAGTCATCATGTGTTTTTCAGAGACAGTAATCAGTAGTAATCAGACTACAATTGAGTTCCTTATGTTACTTCTGGTTGGACTTCTACATTCACTGACATAGCCACTCCCCTTAACCAACTAAATATATGGCCACAGGATTCATTGTCTAACCCACAAAAAGGGCAGCCAGAATCAGTAAGAATGAACAACTGAAGGTATTCCCTCATGGGAGGTCTGTTGCGAGCAAGTTTCTATAGAATATGCTAATCTTATGTGCTGGAAATTTCCACATGGCCATTTGATTAAACTCCTGAAAAAAATGGTGGTACCTTTGCCTCAAGATATTATAGCGACTTTATCAGATGCTCTTCCATGCTTATCAAGGACTTAAGTCCATCTGTTCTTGATATTCCCAGCCAAAATTGAATCAAAATAATACGTCAACTCAGATTGCAGCGATGCATATTTTAATATTCCTTTAAAATAGGTTGGACTGAAGACCTGACACCGTGATAGTTGCTTGGCATGCTATACCATTTTATGAACATAATGAGAGTACATAACATCATCTTTCATCAATTAGAACTTGCTTGTTCAATTAGAAGACCTTGAAGTTGTGTTTCCAAATTATCCAAAGATCATACTGCACAGGTTCTTATATGAAAAGATGAAGTAACTTGTAAAGAGAGTGCTGGTAGCAAAGAACCTTCAAATTGTTGCCATTTTTATGAGTTGTCTATTTTTGTTTTTTTTTATTAGAGCCTTCTTCGCAAATCAAACAGTGAATATATTGTTGATCTGGTATCTCTGTCGATGACCTTGTTCTTAAACTATTAACATTATAAACTATTGTTGGAGAGTTGGCACTGGATTATTTGTTGCTGCAGCAATTACAAAATTCTTTTGATATTCTGGAGTATTTGCTGTTATAATAAAACATAAAATGGAAGAAAATAATTGATTGGCTTTCAATTTTGTCAGGACTATCTGTTGATGAATTCTCAAGGAAGAAAATGGATGCAACAGCCGAGGAATTAACGGAGGAGAAGGCTCTTGCGTATTCATGCCTGTCTTGAGCTTCTCCTCGAGTTACTAGTGGGTTTCTATTTTGCCACCTTTTCAAACTGCATGGAGATCGAGATTTGAATAAACTTGCTAGTTAATTTTTTTTACTGAATTTTTGCTGTAAAACTCATCTTCGAATAACTTAGATGTGATGCACAATGTTCGTCTTGTTTTCATCACAAAGCATGAAGCTGATATTATCTAATCTTGAACATTTTCTGAGGAATGCTATATAAAATGTGTTAGTTGCTTCACTAAATTGTACAATGGTTTTTCATTGATTTGTTTAATTTATGATTTTAGTATCTCCTTTACATTAATTTATGATGTAATTCCGAATGAAATTGCCTAGTGCCATGACAGTAGATTTTGAAGACCTGTGTAGTCTGACAATTATTTATGCATATGCTTTGTTTTTTTTATATATATAGAATTTTGAATTCAATTCTGATTTGTCATCTCCTGTTTTCTTGGATGTTCTTTCTTAAACTAATGTTCAAAGACACACTCTGGACAGGCCATCATTATCTTTGTTTCCTCCCGTAGAAATTTGACTTTGTGAAGTTGCTACAGGATAAATCCAAACCATAGGCGCACCTTAAAAAGACAAATTTAGGCTGGTTAATTGTATCCACGAGGTGATAGATTAGATTGGCTTTAGACTTTTATATCCTATTCTATGTATAGATTGGTCGTAAGAGCCATGTCAATATAGATGTTTAAATATAGGAAGCAGCATATTTTGTTGTCTTGTTTATGACATCGAGTCACGGCCAGCAGAGAAAATTACTAAACCAATTCATCATGTCTCTTTCATTCCAAACAATACATTTGGATTGTTGCAGAACATTTCCAACCATGAAATTGGTGCCTTGCATTTGGATTTCAAACCACATTAGGAACGAGTCTCTTGGTCGGTGCTAGCAAAAACTCAACCTCTTCTTACTCAGGTCAATCCTGTCTGGCGTTGAACAGTAACACCATTATATTTTTCTCCCCCACCCTTAGGACGCATAGTGCAGTGTGGACTTCAAGATGGGTATCTTTGACTCGCTTCGTTCTTCCAATTAAAGTTGATCGAATCCGGTTTAACTGGGTTTTGGATCTATTTAGTGCACAAATTGGTCTGGTTTCGAAATCCCCTTCTTTGGTTAGAGGGTAATAATATAATGCACACCAAACAAAAACCATTATGAAAGAAACACAATGTGGAAACAAAGACCATGAGATATCATCATGTTAGATCCATTGTTCGATGACAATGAGGGTATAGAGGTCTACAATGTACGAAATCTCCAAACCATCCTTGTGGAAGACAAGAAACATTTTTTATGTGATGGAAGACTCATTGCACAACTCTTCTAAAAGAAATTGTTTGCTTTTTTAGATTTCTCTTTTCTTAAATATCTTTTTCTCACAGGGTTGAGTTTAATAATATTCGTCCAATTTGTCTTTCCTGTGCCGTCCAAACCCATACAATAAACCCAACAACTATGATTAAAATAAAAAAAAAGGATGACAAGGCACATTAGATGGTTACAACTAAATATGTTATTAATTGTGGACATACAAATGATATACAAGTATTTGCCATTAATTAGAAGCCTTCACATGGTAGCCCCATCCATCCATGTATGAAAAATGATATTTGAAAGGAATTAGGAATGGACTGATATTATGATCTCAATCAGGGTTAAAATCATTTCTCTTATTCAAATATATTATATCATGTTGGCACTTTTTATTCGAGGAAAGCCTAATTGGGCCAAGATAAATCATCATATTTAAAGGTCTCATGACTTGTTAAAACCTTCACAAAACCACCAAACTCTACTTCTTCTTCTCTTCTCAGCTCCTCTAGTTGCAGTTGGCATACACCCAAGTTCAACAAGCATACGAACACTGTGCACATAAATTATCGATTGATACGGAAGTCCAGAAGTTGCCAAAGTTCATTAATAGAGAGTGATTATTGCAAAGACGAACTTGATTGATTGTGATGTGCTTAGAATGAGTCAATCTTTAGAGTTAGTGTCAGCTGTTTGCCTGCCAAAGTTGCCGAGCCTTGTCGATAGCCTGCTTGATTGGGTCTTTCATGACTCGATGCACTGCTCAATAGCATATAACTTGGAACATTCAAAACTACTAGGAATGAAGGAGTTGATCTCCTTTGATATCACACAAACCATGTGTTCATGCAATGAAAACAAACTACAAGGAAATATGTGAACTACAAGTTGTTGCCTTTGACAGCACGTAAGAGGCCACACTTTCAGGTTTTTTCCTCTCTTTACATACAAGGGAAGTATGTGTATTCTCTGCCTTGGCCTTCTTCTTCCACCTTCCCGTTGAGAAGAAGAGTGCATGTCTATCTCTCGAAGACCACCACCCACCATTAATGAAGCTTTGATGATCCAGTGGTTCAATCTTCTATTAGTCAATTCACCACCGCCAAAATGTCCTATAAAAAAATCCGAAGAATGTCATGTTCTCCTACAATTGCGTCAGTTCCTGCAGATCTCCAGCTCCCATGAAGACGTTCAGCCAAAAGTCCGTGTCATCCATGTCGGATGAGGTGAACAGGTCGAACCGGTCGTTGGTTGGAGGAGGAGGAGTAGTAGTAGGAATTGTTAGTGTAGCAGGCTCATCCGTCGACAAAGTCTCCAGCCAAAAGCCCTCATCAATCTCTTGGAGTTCCTGAGAAGAACATCCTTCCTCCTTGACGTTACTGATCCCTCCTGATGCCCCCGACCAATCAGTGGCAAAGGAGTACAAGTCGCTGTATGATTGCTCCGGTGACGTCGACGCAAGCCTTGCGCCTCTGTGATCTGCTTCCAGCTGCGTGGACAATGGCCGGGACAGTACCGTCCTGTCAGTCCTGGAACAACCGGTCGTCTTCCTCTTGGACGATCCGGAGGAAGACATGTTGGGGCCGACGAAGCGCTTCTTCAGGTGGGTGTGCCACACGTTCTTGATCTCGTTATCCGTTCTTCCAGGTAGTTTGGCAGCGATGGCAGACCACCTACCGACAAGAGGAACAGTACCGCGTGTGAGAGACTCGCCAGTCGAAATCACGTAATTGATGACAGGAAGAAAGATTTCGCGTGTGCACGGTGATAAAATGTGGGACAAGGTATGATTTGTAGCTTCTGCGTGTGGTCCACAGGAGGCAGCCCAAGAGGTCGGTCTCTCGGAACTTTCCCTTCCCATCCTCGAGAGCAGAGGAAGATAAGCATCGAGTACACTTGCTTTCCTCTTCGTTACTCTCACATGCAAAATCTTGCTTTGATCTCAGAATGCATGATTCGCTCAAAGCGATCCAAATCCAGTTGCTGGAGCTGTTACCTGTTGCCGAGCATCCCATGCAATCCGATGATCGTCTCCTGTTCTTCCCTGGTGAAGTTCCCGCGTTTGATGTCGGGTCGCAGGTAGTTCACCCACCGGAGTCTGCAACTCTTCCCACACCTCAGGAGACCTGCACAGTAACGAACTGAGATTAGATCGAAGACCCGATTTCGCTGATTTCTTTTCCGGAGAGAGAAAGAACCCTAGCCAAGGTAGGAGCAGTCTGTACTCACCGGCTTGTTTCGGCAAGGCTCGCCAGTTGGCATGGCCATATCTGTGGACGTAATCCACTAAAACCTGGTCCTCCTCCGGTGTCCACGGCCCCTTCTTCAGACCCATCTTCTCGCAGCAAGGAGCCCTCACCATGATGCGAATGGATTCACTACTTCTCCCTCTTCCTTTTGCTATCCCAGTCTCTCTCGCTGTCTCACTAGTTCAAGAGGCTTCGCAGGACAGAATGAGCCCTCCCACCACCGCGTGAGCCAGTTTTATATGGGCACCAAATTGCCAACGTGAACGAACGAATCCGTGGTGATGTGGCTTCCGCACCTTCCGTGAAACAATCTCACAGCGAGCAGCACCCTCTCGTATAACACAAAAAGGCATCGCTTTCTTGTCATTTCCCCGTCTTGGAGTTGACTAAGTCAGATGGCTAAACCGCAGCTAAAAGTCCAGACCGGGCTACTCGCCGGTAGATAGTCATATATGACGCAAAACACAAAGACCTTTTGAGAAAGCCGAGTGAATGAATGACTGTTGAATGAACGTAGCTGATTTGACGCTTTCCCAATCCGAACCCACACTTGAAAGCAATCAAACGTCACCAGTCGAAATGCGACAAAGCCATCACGTAGTCCCAAAGAAGACAATGTGAATGGATCGCACGGCGGATAAAAAGTAAAAAAGTCATTTTCCAGCCACGCATTCGGTCCACAGTCTGAACAGTAACTGCGGCGCCACAGGCGACGTGAACAGTGGAAGGTTGACTGACATCGTGATGATCATGGATCGGAGAGTCGTGCTTCTGCCACGTGTTCATGGTCAACGAAAACGTGGGGGAGCGGGGTGATCACGTTCACGTCTGAATGGGTGGAAAGCATGTGGTGGGGTCAAGTCAATATTCACATCAGTCAGTGCGTTCACATACACTCTCTCTCTCTCTCTCTGAAATGTAAACCTCGTCAAACACACAAAACCATTGTAGTCAAACGCATGTGAAGATTTTAGGTCAATAAGAAAGACTTGGTTTAAGTTTAACATGTAGTTATATATATAATACTTGAATTAATAACCGCTTTAAAAGCTATTGGGAAGTTAGTTAGTATGGATTGTCAAATAAATAGTGAATATATATATATATATATATATAAAAGAAATTATAATATGAAATATTATAAGGTTAAAAATCCACATATAAATTATTAGAGGTTGCTGAGATAAGTGGGTGCGTCATGTTTGACATCATCGACATAAAGATTGGATTGGTATGATCATTGCAAGTCAATAAATGGAAGCCGGAGCTTTCCCGCATGAAGATTTATGGTGGGAAAGAATTGGGTTAATGTGTGGGCTGCTCATATCGGTGCTGCTGCACTTTGCTTTGTGACCACCAACATCAAGATCTTGTCGTGATACAGAATCCCATGTACTCGTCCTTTTTCCGATACTCGAATCGTTCTGTGCTCTGCCACACATTTAATTAGGTTTTCCGCATTCGAGACACGTTCCGCACGTGAGTCATGCTTCTCGTTTCTAAGTTGCCATCTTACTAGAAAATTAAGACCAATCCCATTAATAATAGCCTCGTCATCTTCTTTTTTTATTTATTTATTTTTAATTAGGTACTTTTCATAAGGCCACAAACAATATTTGAGATCATACGGTTTAGTCAAAAAGAAAACCAAGAATTAAACTTTGATCAATTTGATATCATAATACATGATACCGATTAATTTCAATGGTATATGATATATTGATGATATATACGAATGATGAAATATATGACAATGGAGAAAGATAAAAGTATAAGGAAAAAAAAAATATAGTGAAGGAAGAAGGATAGGAAACATACTCGACGTTACGTATATTGATGAATACAACTCGATGTAAGTCTTAAATATATTAAATTATTATTATTTATTTTATTGATTGAATTTAATGATAAGAGATATGATTAGTCTATTTCTCAATTTATGTTTAAATATGAATGTATAATATATTTTATATCGATCTAGGTAAAAGAAGGGTGTGCATTGTAATATACTATAGAAATCAATCAATCCTAATGCTAATCATATTAATAATAGACTTTTAATATGATATGATGTTTGGATAGTCAAAAATAAACGTTTATCGGGATGACCCAGTCAAAAATAGATTAGCATAAATACCAAACAGAAGTCACATAAGTAAATTAAATATAAAAATATATATATATATATATTATACATTATCATAATTATTTATTATATTACTCGATGATAATAACTAAATGTCCCGACCAATTGTGATCTCAACTAATCATAGTAGTCAAACAAACATGAAGCCAAAGCATGCCTCATTGACCCATTATACTATTCACTTAAGAACATTGTATTATTATATGTCACATGGTTCAGATGGTATTAGAGCACATGATTAAGTCAAAGGAGGCCCAATAATGATGATAACAATAATAAAAAATAATGATATTTGATTCAATAATAACATCATAATGATGTGTATATATATATATATATATATATATATATATATATATATATATATATATATATATATATATATATATATATATATATTATATGATATTTACCAAGTGGAATAATCATATATTATATATATTATTAATTAGATAATTAAAATAAAAACGCCTTTTGTAACAATACCGACCTTAGCTCAGTTGGTAGAGCGGAGGACTGTAGTCGGTTCAGACATCCTTAGGTCGCTGGTTCGAATCCGGCAGGTCGGAATTTTTCTCTTTTTGTTTGTGTGGATTAGTGTAATTTTAATGTTTATTAATATCCCTATTATTTATTATATTCACCATCTTTATGTACCTTTACAAAGGTGTTTTTAAGAGTCCTTTTAATTTATCTTTCTTCTCTTAAGCTTCCTTCAGTATGCATCCAAAGGCTCCTATCAATGTGATGTCTTGGGAAATCAACGATAAATAATTTTTGGATTCTTGAAATCATATTGGTTAGAGTATAAAAAATATTCAAGTATATAAAAAAACTTTGATGTAGAAGAATAAAATATTCTTGAAATCATATTGGTTGGATTATTATAATTTTAATGTTTATTAATATCCCTATTATTTATACTCACCAACTTTATGTACCTTTACAAAGATATTTTTAAGTGTGCATTAATTTATCTTCCCTTATGCTTTTTATTTATCTTCGTGTCCATATGATGCATGCATTAATCTAAAGTTTGTGCCTAATAAGGCTTCCATCAATATAATGTGAGGTCTTGAGAGATCAATGTATGTTTACAAGTGAGTCCATCAATAATTTCGTATTGGTTGGAGTATAAAAAAAAATCATGTACAACAAAACTTTGACGTCGAGAATTTTTTTTTTTAGAATTTATATAAGAGGATACATAAATAACTTTGAAATTCATTTTGTCTTGAAGGACTTGATTTTTCTTAATGGATGCATGTGAAAAGTTCTGAATAATATAAATATTATGATTAATATTTTTTTATTATTATTATTTGGATTAATCTTTTGACATCAACAACTTCATTTTGTTTTTCTTGGTAGAAGCCACTTGGAGCTTTGGTTTGAGTTAATTCAAGAAAAAAAGTTAGTTATTCTTTATATATTATTATTCTTATAAAATAAAAGATTTGATTTTTTCTAAGAATGTATGTATGTATATATATATATATATATATATATATATATATATATATATATATATATATATATATATATATATATATATATATCATATGATATGATACTAAATAGTTTATACTCTTAGTTTTATTTTAATTTACATATTCCAATTTGTGTATATATTTAGCATTTCTGTGAGAGACAACCAAATATGTGATTTCACATTTGGTCAAGATTTAGAGTAGGCACTGAGGAACATTTAAATCAATAAAGATGTAAGAATGCTTTTGTAATGGCTATCGTAGGTGTTAATTATAGATTTATTAATCACTCTATTACATTGTTAACTTTATCTTAATCATATTAGTACCTTCTATCTCATATTGAGATAGTAGTAGAACAAAGATTAGGATAGACTTGCCTGACTAATGCATAGAATTTTATATTTGAAAGAGCATATTGTAGTTAGGTTAGCTACAAATAAGTAACTGGTAAGAGTCCATAAAAGATTATTGAGTGAGATTTTGACAGTCAAGCTAAAATGCTGAGAGATGATCACACCTATAAATTTGAAGGCATGGAACAAGAGATGGTGGAAGATGTGGATCTATTTATTACTATGAAGCAAGAAGATAAGAAGAGTTAGCTAAGGATGATATTTTTATAACTATTCATGGAAAAAAGAGAGGATAAAACAAAAAAAAACAGTTATATCTCACTTCAAATTTTCATTATGGATGTGTTTTACTTACTCCTAATTTTTCATTAAATAAGACAGTAAGCATTAGTAATATTATGAACTCTTATTAAACAATATTGCATTGAGCGAAGATATTGATTCTCAAGTATTTGGACCAGATAAAAGATATGTATGAAGTTAAAGTCACAGAACCATGTCTTGGTATTTTGCAACATCCATATGTTATCATTTAATTTCTATGAATAGATACTCTAAGAATGAGAAAGATAGAAATATTCAACAATTAAAAGAGAAATTGAGAAGAATACTCAAAATATGGGATTCTAGGATTAGAATATTAGATGACCCACTTAGTTTTTTAGATTTAGATTTTGAAAATTACACAAGTATGATTTTAAAAGATTAAAAATATTTTATTGAGCCAAATATGATTATTTTGTAATAATAAAATAATTAATTAAAAATGTTACTAAGAGGGAATCTTATTAAATGACTTAAACTGACATTATTGAGTAAATGGTTAAAATTTTAGTATTTTTTTAAATTGTAATAAGTCTTGTAATGCTTTATCTTATGAACTCTCATAAAATTTTACATTTTGAATATAATTTTACTATTCATATTTTGAAAAGTAGATAAGTGTTGTTAATTTAATTATAGAATGTATTATTTTTAAGATATATTTATAATAAAAAATAAATATCAATGACTTAGTTATTCATGAAGATGCATATATTAGATTTATATCTAATATTTTTAAAACTAATAATAATATTTTGGTAATCTAACTAGAAATATTATATGATGATCATGTTCACTATGAAAAATTAGTAAATTAAGTTTATTGCATGAATCTTATAGCATTTCTTATTTTGACCGTATCTTCATGT